AAAAGCGTTCCACAAGTCGGCTGATGTAGATTGTCAATCGTGGACATTGGCCAAGTCTCAATACAGAGGAGTTTGCACAGCCTTCCTGGGCGTTCTTTGAGGATAAAGAGAACGAGGACTTAATCAACGCCTCGAGAATGTTAAAACTTTGTTGATAAACACATGCTGAGCCTTATTGCCGTAAAACGAGAGAAAAAAAAAGTCTGACATGTGTGTTCAATGCTTTTGTGGAACAAAAATTAGGGTTTAACTTTTAACCCATGACTGGCCTTTTTATGCCTTGTCATTTCTCCGTCTTGGTTGTCAACCTGAGAGAACATCGTGACAGCGATTAATTTTTGTGCCTCTTTCTGCTCATTCCTAACCCCTCAAATCTTAGGGGACAAAAGAATGTCAATTCTGGGACAAGAGATTAAAAAAAAAAAACGAACCAAAGCAAAACAAAGTCCTTGAATCATGTGGAAGAGGTTTGGTTTCCCAGTTTCTCCAACTCCACTCCACATATGCATGGTGGTAAATATGAAGGCGCGTAAAACCTCTTCAACACACGAGACTGTGTTGAATTCCGTCGACGGAAGTTACCACCTCTATAGTCCCATTTACAAGACGAGAAAAACTGAAAATTCAGTTGTAGCTACTGCAATGGCTCAGTGACATTGCGGTCAAATGTCTCTCCTCAGATCCCATTGGATTGACGTGAATGAATAGATGGCGTGGAGGGTGCATCGAAGAGGGCATCAAGGGTGTCACTTAAGAGCAAAAAAGGAGGAATTATGTGATGTATTGTTTGACAAAATGGGGAGGATCCGAGTGCGCATAAAGCCTCCTTCAGCAGGGTCAACTGGATGCCTGATTGCGGGACCACAGTCTTTCACGCTCTCCACTGTAAAGACGATCACGTCGGAGAGAGGTAACACCCTCAATGATAATGCAAACACAGAAAAGGGGAGAAAAGTGGAGACACCAAGTCATTGTAACTACAACCCATCTCTACAGCTACAAATGAGAAGAAATATGTTTACTGACACGTCTAAGCAGAGTCAAGCATTTTTTGCTAACACGAAAATATTTCTTTTCCTAGTGTTAAACATCCCTGAGCTACTATTTACTACAACACAAACACAAACCTTTCCTTCTGCCAGCCAAGACAAGGGAAGTTGGCGGACAGGAAGGTGGAGGTATGCACCAAAGATTGGTGGGTAGGGAACAAGCAGAGTTGTAAATGAAAGGCGAAGACTGTAAATTCTAAGCGGTGAGCGACTGACGGGATACCTCAACTCTCTCTCTCTCCCTTCCTCCAACTCCACAATACGATTTATTCAAGCCGACCTTTGTCGTCTCCACCAATAATACCTTTCAGTAATTCATATTTCATCCATCATTTCCCAGAGATCAACTAATCAAACATCTCCACTAAGCTCACATCCCTTCTTCTAACCTACCATTACAAATAAGGACGTTTCTTTAAACCGGTAGGATAGCAAATACGACCTGCAGACTCAACTTCGTTCGCTTTCATTTCCTTATTTCATTATTCATGTCACCTTGTAGCTCACTTTAACAACCCGCCTCAATTCTTTGGCAATTCTAGAAGGAAGGATGGACTATGGATGAATAAATGCAGCATTAAGATAAGGACATGATCGTGAACGTGAAGAAGAAATTCCACTGGTAAAACCACTCCCCACTGTTCTATGTGATCTGCTATTCACATCCGAACATCAATTTCATATAGTTTTTTTTGAACTGGAAGCCAATGTAAACCCTCTCTAAACATATTTTTCTTTTTACCACTCTTTTACCCTCAAACTACCTACATCACTTCTCAATGTCGATAACGGATGATAACCATTACCTGGGAGGTGAGACAAAGCGACATCCCCTTCCGCTCCTCTCGGTGTTAACTGCCCCTGTTCCTGCCTCAAGCACTCCAGAAGATCCAAAGATCCCAGCATCTCCGAAAACGAGGTCCTTTGCGGTGCTGCAAGGAGACACCGAAGCTGTGCATCATTAGGCGACAAATAAATTGCCATTACAGGCGAGCAAACATATCACCGCCCAATTCCTTGCATAAATAACCCATTTATGATAGGAGACTTACTAAAAGGACCTATGAACAAAAATGGCATGCAGATTGGTGATAAATGGAGGCCACTAGGAACCTACCTGCAAGGCATGCAATTTAAGGTGACTTCCTTGTAGTCCAGTGGTCACAAGGTGGGGCGAAGGGCGCACAATCTCTCTCTCCTATGAATTTGATCAACACACAAAGATTTGCACATGCCTCTCAAATGCATTGTTTTGGTAACATTAAGACCCATTGGTGTGTTTACCCACATCTTTCACTTGATGCGATATTTAAAATCACTTTATGCATCTATGGTAAGGTTTCCAAGCCGGGGACCACTCAGCGCAGAATAAACGGCCTGTTGTATCCCTCAATTGGCAGTAAAGGGACCGCAAACACTTCACCTTTCAACGCTAACACACATGCACAATCTTAGCAGTCTCGGCTTGAAGAGACAGTTGCATTCAATTAGTTGAAACTCGCAAAAAGGAGATAGAGAGAAGGAGAGAAAGTTAGTCGGCGCAACAAACACGGAACCGGAAAAGAAAGCGCCTCATTCGCCATAGAGTTGGCAAATTTTCTGCAATCAATCTCATAGTTGAGAAAAAAAGAGCTAAAAAAGGAAGGCAAACCTAAACGAGCATTCAGCAAGAGCCACGCCGTAGTCAGAAGTGGCATTAAAATTAGTTGTTGTGGTAGAAAGTAATAAAGTAACTTCATTCGTGTTTTACAATAGAAAACAGCTATGAACAGTTCATTTCCTGCCAATTTGCAAAAAACTTCCGATTCACCTGCTTACTTCCAAATGTGTACAAGTGGGTAGAATTTAATACAACGGCGCCCTATGAAGGCAGTAATGGAACTTCCTCCTCACCAACTTGATAGTCCTGTCGGATGGCACAGCGTCAGGAGTGTCCACTGGACTGACTTGGGGGATGGGGGTAGCCAGTGCATCGGAGAGCTGCTGAAAGCCAGCCGAAGGAAACAGTAATTTTTCCATTGTTGCATCCTGAATCAGACAATTGAAATAACACCTCCTATTAGTAAACTAACCTTAAACAACATATGAAGCACCACCGAAAAGTGTTGCTAAAGCATTAGAATTTGAGTTTTAGCATAACAACAAATAGCCCTTCGACGTGGAGCAAGATCTTTCCTGCGATTAGTCAAGGAGATAATTTTTTTTAGAGCCATGCCTTCTAAACGTTGTATCTTGTTGCCATGTTTTCCGGAGTTTTAAACTCGCATTAAAGCTGGACTGGAAAGCAGAAAAGGTGAAATTGCATTCCTTAGGTACAAATATTGCGAGGATCCGAACTGGAAGAGCAACAAAAAGGAGCTGCACTGAAGGCTTAATGCATGCCGATAATATGTAATTGGTGCAAATCATCACCTTTTCGACACCCCTTCAAGCCGCTGCAGTAAACACTGGCTGCCTAAAATAAGGAAATCAAACCCGAACTATCCGGTGCATAAGCAGAGAATTGTGCCAAAAATTGGAAATTTTAGTTCATCAGGCTACTTGTCTACGATAAACATACAAACTATGATTAATAACAATGCCTCTGCTGTGACAGCCCCTCCCATCAATAGGCCCTAAATTGGAAAGACAGACCTTGAGTTTCCCCAATGTTGGTGTGTACACTTGCACTTCTTGAGTGTATTACGGAGATTCAAATAAAAACGACGTAAAGTAGGCGCGGCGAGCTTCTGCTACATAAATAGAACACCCGACGGAGACAAGAAGCAGCATAATCAGTTGGACAGTACAAGGTACTGAGCAATGCAAAAGTAGCAATTTTTAGGGACGGGAAAAAACGAGTTGAAGATAGAGACGATCTCCACTAGGACAAAAATTGGGGGCTTTCGAGAAAAATAGCGTCGACCGTGAGGCAAAAACTTAGAGGAAAAATAACAGCAGACACTGGAAGGATTGGCTACCGAGCAAGACAAGTGAGAGAACCATTCAGTCAGATAACAGAGAACTGAGACGAATGAGAAAATTTAGGCGAAATAGCATTACACTTTACTATCCAGAATAAGAGGGGATTGCGAATTCGCAACCACGTAAATTAAGTAATGAACCAACACAGATAAAGAGAACATTGTTATAGTTCTATAACAATTTATTAACTACAATAAATATAAGAACCGGCAAAATCTACATAGGCCATTTCCATTGATTTGGTGGGGCATCCTGAACGAGAGGTTCCCACGGTTTCCACTTTAGCATGTTTTTTGCAAGTTCGTATTCGTTTTTGGCCTAAAGGCTTATGTCAACACAGCAGTGAAAACTAGAGCACTACGCAGTGAACTAAGCCACTACCTGAATTATCACCTCTTCGATTTGTCCACAATCGATTTTCTTTTCTAAGTCTGGAATGTTTGGCGTCTAAAAAAGTGATATCGGTTTCCAGAAAAAAACCTTCTCAACCAAGGCCAAACGTTCTTTAACGACCTTTTCGGTGTGAATTCGATAAGCAGCCGTCTCGGGCATTAGTTTTAAAGTGTTCAAGATGCGACCATAGACTGCTTTCAAGGACTAACTAAATGGCCGAAACAAAGTGTAATAATTACAGCATGTGGAGCCTTCGCTACAGCAAGACCTGTGAGATTAGTGGTCTGAACAAGTAATGCTTATAAGGAAAAGAAGCTACCGCCTTCAGGGCCTGCATCATCAATGCGCACAAGTAGGCAGCAGCAGACCAATTAAACGTGCAGACTCCAGGAGCAGTATTGCTATCATCACTATTTACAAGATCAGATTTACACCGAAAGCTTTTGTGTAAAAATGCTATACCCATTATAATATCAAAGATTTAAGATTAAAACAATTTACGAGCAATTTATTCTTAGCTTTTATATAAATGGAGTGCGTTGGCGATTGTTTCGGGGTTGTTGAAAGCGTGTGCGTCCTAACTCGTGTGCACGCCGTTTGCTATGGGCAAGCGCAAGAAGCTGTTCATTGCTTTCGACGAGGAAAAGCGCAGGTATTTTGCCATTTAGTGTTTACTGAAATCTAGAGACTACTTGACAGGGTTTCGTAGGCGCAAGCAGGAACGACGTGCAAAGGCGCGTTTAGAGAATGAGAATAAACTTAAGGAGGAAATTCGCAACGTCAAGCAAGTTGTAAGCGATGAACATCTTTCCGAAACATTGTTTTAGTATCATGATGAAATGAAAAAGAAGCTGGAAAGCGTCACAATGCCGAGCTTTCTTGCTGATGACCTTAATGTAGTCTCCAAACGCACAATTACGGACACGGGAGAGCATACAGTCAGTGTTGAAGAAATAAATATTGCTCAATCACATTATTTTATGGGTGAAAATGTAAGATACGCCATCTAGAGATATGTGCTTTACAGGAAAAAGAGAATGCTGACTTGAAACCACAGTCGACTACAAACTTGTAAGCGCGCATTGTGTTGAACTTTACTCTTTTAAGTGGTAATATGCCCCTAAAGAAGGCTCTGAAAATGAACCCAAAGAATTTTTCGCGGAAAAAACACAAGAAGTGGACTCCTCGTGAGCCAAGTAAAGGACGAAAAAAGAAGAATAAAGTACAGAAACCTGGGCGTCGAAAGTGAGCCTACTCTGTACTAATAATTTATGTAAATAATTCGAAATTTCAACACTCCCTTCTTGAGAACTGAGTCTGGGTCGTTTCTTAATGGGTCCGCCGTGTAGGTTTCGCATTTTCCACAACTACTGTCTCCAATGCAGCTATTGCGTTTCAATCCAGTTTTGATTTTGCACTGTTGCCAATCAGGCGGATTGTTTAACTTCCTAATTTGAAACAATTCAGGTGTTGTCAATTAATGCGATCGGGTTTCGTTGGAACTTTACTAGAAGATTTGTCTCTCCTTTCGTTGTCACCTTGATAATGTACTTAGTTTCTGATACCGCAATCCATGTGCTTATCAAATTGTTAATCTACAATCCCCAAAGCCATAATGTTTTTAATGGCTCCGATCGCCCTTCTCCATCTGATTCGAAATGACTTCTTTTTCGAGTATTGGACAAATGTGTGCAGAACCATTATTTATCAACTTTACAATATGATTTTCAATTTCACCTCTTCCAAGAAGGCTTTGTGTCCGTGTAATTAATCTCAATTTGATTTTGTCCTGAACACGGCTGACGAATGGTCCAAAAAGTTTTCCGCCAACTGTACTTGCAGTTACGAATCATCGGAGCTCTTGGTTCCTTTCATTTGCATCCCTCTGCATTTTGGAGGGGTCGAAACGCCCTTCCTGACGTCTTTTTTCCATTCATGAGGCCTTTTGGGTAGCGCGGCTGCATATCGGAAGGCCACTAAGCGTCTACGCAAGTTAGAGTGAAGTTAGGGCATCCTTCTTGCCTTTTACCTCATTTTGTTGTTTATTGTAAGCCCTAACTGGAGTGTGTGGTATTAACCAGTCTTCTGATTGTCTAGGTTTCGGCAAATTAATGCAAATAATGTTAGCATAAATCCAAAGCGTCAGTACTATCTATGCAGAGGGAAATAGCCAACCTCTTCACAGGTTGAAATTGGCAATTCAAAGGCAGAATTGCTTTGCATTATTTAGCAGACTACTCCTGCAATGCCCAAAATTTATTGCAAAATAAACCACTCTGCTCATTAATTATGCAATTTAAATGGAGTCTCACCTGACTTCAAAACGTTTGTCCCTGACGCTGCTTGAATCGCCTTCGGTAATTCCTTTATGCTAAACACCTTTAAGGCATTGCAGTGTCCCAAAAAAAAC